TTAAACACTAAAAATCATTAAAAACACTAAAACCGGACTGGTTAAAACTCAGCAACGAGTGCTTCATAATGCATTACAGATTCATACTCAACACTGCTGAAAGAAAGTTATTCAAGCTCAAACCCCTTCTGGACGTGATGCATGTATGTTCTGTTCTGTTCTATTATGTCATGCTCAGCTTTCATTGCTCACATTATGTGTAGATCATCAATTATAGACTACTAATGCGATATTTTAGACTTTGCATCTCTGTGGCTGTTTCACCCCGTAGATAAGACCAATCATCTGACTAGAAAGTGTAACAAGCACAAATTATCTCCTGCAGTGGTCAGCAAATTCAGCGTTTGGCTTGCTGCCGCTGGATTCTCCAGAGAGCAGAGGTTCACGCTGGGGTCTTATCGCTGCCTGATGTGTGTTATGTAACAGATGTGTGCTTGTGCGCTGCGCTTTTCAGCTTTTTTACCATGCTAGTTATCAGAAAGCATCCTATATTTAAACTTCTCTGAAGACAAACAGGCTGTTGGGTCATGTGTTGATGAGCAGTTATTAAATTATGTTTAATATTTCATGACTCATTTCACAGAAGTAGGTCAAATTGGAAGGGTACAAATAGCAGTAATGTGTTGATTTATTTGGTAGGGAGTAAAAATAAGTGTAAAGAGGCTCATTAATAAAGCATAAACTGAAACTAGTAAACAAATGAGCTCTTATTAAGGACTACACTGTTAAAAGGGCGCTCATTATTGGCATTTATGGTTTCTTGAAGTACTTTTGCATTGCACTGATGGTTTTTTACATGTCTTTTAACCCTTATGTGCTGTTTGGGGTGTTTTCATCCACTGTGGGCTGATTTTGAGTCTAAATTTGGCCACAACTTTCTCTGCGTTTCAGCAAATGGAATGATTTTTGGTGGCAAATCTGATTTTGACACATATTTTAGGGAAAATGCTTGAACATTTTCAAAAACAGTACAATCTGGCCAAAATCACTACCCTTTCGTTATGTTGGGGGCTGTTTTGACCCCATTGACTTCCATTATAATGACATATTTTGATTGCAAAGCCATGACACCATATAATCATGCATTCTTGATTGTTGCTGGTTTTCACTGTTGGGGAGGAGTACAGTTTGTCAGTTTTACTGTTTATCATCAGTTACAGTGCAAAAAAAAGCTTAGTTCTGGCTTTTATATGGAGTTAAAAATGGAGTAAAGTCTGTGTGTATGTGATAAAGTGCGAGAGAGAGCTTTGCGCACTGATCTTACTATGTCTGAAAAAATCAAAATAAGCAGCTCAGCTCTCAGAACACAGTAAACATAGTAAGGATATTTAAGCACACACTATAATCTGCTGTTGTACTTAATAGAACTCTATATAAAAGCCTATCTAAAGGGTTAATGCTGCCAACTGTATGTTGATTAACAGTACAAGTTGCACATTTTACCCATAGACTGTAAAATATATAAAATATATGGACATAGTATCCGTGACGTCACCCATAGGTTTCTAAAGAGCACAAAAGAAGCCACAAGTAGGCGCGGCCAACCGTCGCCATTTTGTTCGCGCGTCATCACACCCACGGCGGGATACCAAACAAGGGCAAAGAGGCGGAGAGTGGGCGGGGCTACAGACACCTGCTGGCATTTAGCTTGGACCTGGTTCAGACACACTTTACTTTGGGAGAACGCTTAATACTTTATCACCTGTGACTCGTTTTTATTCTGACCACTTGTGCTTGGTTGTACACTATATCAATAAAGTGTTTAGACTTTTAAAACACTGCTGTATTACATTGAGCCACTAAACATTGTTCTTATGACGTTTTTCAACAGGAGGAAAACGCGAATTACTTCCAAGCACTTCAGATATAGTCTGTGTTAGTAAATGTAAGACTATTGATGAAATCCAGCATAACACTATATGACAACGCTTCAGATGACGGTTCTAGAGCCTACAGCTAATCAATCTGACAGATTCTGGAGTGCATTACAGCTCTAAATATAAATATAAACTATAAATGATCCTAAATAAAACAAATACATGTACAGAGATGGTATATAAGTATATAACTTTACTCACATGGGAAACGGAGGCCACGTGAATGGTTTGTGAGCACAATTAAGTGCACTCAGCATGCCATGCCATCTAATAATTGTAGGAAGCAAGTCCAAAAGGCAGTTGACTGTGTAAAGCCACATAAAACAACACAGAAATACGATAAATATGCCGAGTTCAGTGGCTAATCTGCAGGATTCAGCTGAGGTGACGTGACGGCGACCAACGAGACCTAGCTGTCACTCAAGTGGCCACGCCCTTAATTATGCAAACTTAATATAACTTAATATAAAGGAAACGGATGGGTTATAAAAACATTCACCCCCCCTCACAGTTGTCATGAAGGGTAATATTAGCTGTATTAACCAAAATCTTTTTTGTACCAGGCTGTAAACACCTGGGCTCAATTGAAATTTGTTCTATTTTGGAGCCAGGAGCAGCCAGGACTAGCGGAATTTCGGATGAATTGCAGTTTTAGTTACTTCCGTATTGGCTTCCTGAGGGAGAGCGGGAGGTTACCGCTTGATTTTACCTCTTCCCAACAGGGAAAACCACCAATAATAAGAGCTGGGCGATAAGGGCAAAATATCATATCCCAGTATTTTTAGGTGGAATGACTGTATTTTCCCATAAATGGTTACTTGAGAGTTAAAGCCTTTAATAAAACATTATTAAATAATTTTTGAGCAAAATATAATTTAAACTCAGGTGTTTTCCTCCATGTTTACAAATAAACAGCTGCACAAACGTAACAGCTGCACAAAATCTTTGATAAATAAAAGTTCAGTACAGATTTTTCTTCTGCTTGAAACTGTTGCAGAACATTTTATTTATTTATTTTTTTTTGATAAATAAATACTGCTATGCTGTTGTGCAAATAACAAATTAAACAGAACCATAGAAAACAGAGCTATATTGTCAGAGCAAAAAAGGAACACACTTAAATAGTGACGCAACAAATTTAATGTAAAAATGAAACGCACAAACAGTATTTTATGTCACAATTGCAGTGTTGTTATAAGTAATCCTGTATACCACAGTTGTGTGATTTATAAACAACAATTAAATCAGCTGTATATGTTTATTTAGTTACACATTTACAATTATGTATTGTGCACAATTATTAAGCAGTGCACATATCGAAGATATCTAAAGAGAAGTCTTTCACTCCAGGTAAAAAAACCTACACTTTTTCTTTTGTTTTGACTAAACTTTTTTTTTTAACTAAATATTAAATATGGAGATGAAAACGAATAGACTATAGATATGAGAAGTAACCTAATTGTTTCAGAGTACTGTGATGAAATGCTGGTGAAGCATATAAATGTAGACAGTCATTATAACAGAACAGAATGCTAAGCCAAATGTGTTACAGCGTAAATGTAAAGAAGAGACTGTGGTGTAGTAAATACTGAACTTATAATCAGTGAATATGAGGTGGTTTCACTTCCAAAATGTGGTATAAATTCCTCTCATTTTGGCGTTTTTAATTCTTTTGAACACATTCAGGTGCTGCTTATCAATTTGACAAGGCTTCTACGTTTGTTCTTGCTGTCAATTGCGGAAGAAATGATGGATTATAGGTTTCTGATGAACTGCTGTGACAGCTGCAGGTGCTGTGTCAGATTTATCCAGGAGTCCAATTTTAATACAACACTGGCACTGTATGGTTCTTCAGTGATGGGTCGTTCTTGAATGAATAAATGACAACTTTTTTACATTTATGGGATTTTTTTAATGAGTTTTTTACATTTTAAGACTTTTATTTTAAAAAACGAATGTTAGACACATACTGTTTGCTATGGAATGCAAAAACTTTGAAGCTCAATATCTCAAAATCGTTCAGAACGCAGATAGAACCTTATAATACCAAAGTGACGATTTGTGCAAGCGGAGCTCTCGTGCTACCTTGGAGTGGTCTGTTTCACGCAGAATGCGCACGTGTGGCCTTAAACCATATCGATATGGAAGATATTGGATAATACTACATTGCGTTGGGGAATCATATCAATATATCCCCAGAACTCAATATACCGCCCAGCCATACCAATAATCAAGAATGCATTATTATATGCTGTCATGGCTTTGCAATCAACAAATGCTGTTATAATAGAAGTCAATGGGGCAAAAACCACCACAAACATAACGAAAGGATTGTCAATTTGAATAATACACAAGGGTTAAGAAGAGTGTGCGAATTATGCATTGACTATTAGGGGATTGTTTTTTATTGTGCTTTGTCAGTAGTAGTTTGGTTATACATGCTTCAGTGGATCAAATTTATGAATGTATTTAAATTGCATCTAATTTTGTAATAAAATGTATATGCTTTCAGTGCTTTGAGGGGTATTTAGTGACTATTTTAGAGGTTACAGAAGGTCAGACTAAACCACTTATGTGTCAAATTTATTTATTTAATATATATTTATATTATACATTTAAAAATTATTAATATTTAAGATATAGATCAGAGAAAGCTATTTCTTTCTATTAAAAAGCTGACTCCACCCATACATCTTGTTTTGATGTCCTTAAAGGCGGGATCAATCGTTAATTAGGGGGTTTAATCCCCCCCAAACCCCCCTGTAATTCGCACTCTTGTTAAGACTCTTAAGTTGTTTCAAAATGGTCCTTCTATGGCAGGGGTGTCAAACTCAATTCCTGGAGGGCTGAAGCCCTGCACAGTTTAGTTCCAACCCTGCTTCAACAAACTTACCTGTAGGTTTCAAACAAGCCTGAAGGACTCAATTAGTTTGCTCAAGTGTGTTTAATTAGGGTTGGAACTAAACTGTGCAGAGCTGCGGCCCTTTTGGAACTGAGTTTGACACCTGTGTTCTATGGCATTAAATGCACTATTTTGAACGCTTGTTTTTAAGAGTGTACAGCTAATTAGCAAAGTAATTGCAATCAAATGTGTGAGTGAAATGAATGTACTTTTTTTTGCAGGTGTGATTGTTGCGGTGGATGAAAACACAGCGTTCTCCTGGCCTATTTGCTGTCGGTGTGAGAGTTGCCATTTAGAGATTCGAGAAAACGAGTAAGTTCTAAAGTCGGTGCTAAGACAGATCGAAATTATTAGTGATGAACTTTAAAGAAGGTAGACAATTTTAAGTGAGGATCAAACTTCAGCATAGTCTTATGTTAGGATAGGCTGACAGATTTAAGCCATAATATACACATAATATATGTCCTACATTATACATACACATAAGAATAGAAAATTAGAGAAGATCTCAACATATAACCTTTGAAACCGACCATCTCACCCTGATTGTCAACCTTTATTTAAATAAATAAATGAATGAATAAATAAAAAAATTACAAAGCACACCTCTGAAACAAAACCAACAAAATAAATATATAAATAAATGGAAAAGCACACTTATGAAATAAAAATAATAAATAAATAAATAAATGGGAAATAACACCTCAGTAATATAAATAAAATAAAATAAATAAATGCATATATGAATGGAAAAGCACACCTCTGAAATAAAACTATCTAAATAAATATGGACTAAAATCCTTAATAATTAAACTAATATTAATACCTTCAAATTCAGAGTGCTTATACAGCCTTTATTCCAGCAGCATCACAGCTGCACATTCCTTCTTACGTCATCTAGTAAAATAAAGTGTTTATTGAGTCTCGAGTTCTTTCTCTATTAAAGCTGCCTTGAAATGCCTTGAAACATGCAGTGTAGCATATTTAAAATAAAAAAGACAAATCATTTTGGGACAACAAGATACAAGTCAGAAAATTGTGTTTTCACTACAGTCTTTACATAAAAATGAAGGGTTTGTGATATCTTATATTTATCTTTTAGTCAAAGGAATAAACACTTTATATAGTTTTGATTTTACATAGTTACATATTGTTTATGTATATAGTAGTGCCCATCAGAGCGGAGTGAGATGTCTGACCAATCAGAGCAGACTAAAATATTTGACTAATCAGAGCAGAGTATAATCGTTTTACCAATCTGAGCAGATTGGGATGTCTGACCAATCAGAGCAGAGTTGAATTGTCTGACCAATCAGAGCAGAGTGGAATTGTCTGTCCAATCAGAGCAGAGTGGGATGTCTGACTAATCAGAGCAGAATAGAATTGTCTGACCAATCAGAGCAGATTTGGATGTCTGACCAATCAGAGCAGAGTAGAATGGTCTGACCAATCAGAGCAGAGTGGGATGTTTGACCAATCAGAGTAGAATTGTCTGACCAATCAGAGCAGATTGGGATGTCTGACCAATCAGAGCAGAGTAGAATTGTCTGACCAATCACAGCAGAGTGGGATGTGTGACCAATTAGAGCAGAGTAGAATTGTCTGACCAATCAGAGCAGATTTGGATGTTTGTCCAATCAGATCAGAGTATAATTGTCTGACCAATCTGAGCAGGGTGGGATGTCTGACCAATCAGGGTAGAATTGTCTGACCAATCAGAGCAGAGTAGAATTGTCTGACCAATCTTAGCAGATTTGGATGTCTGTCCAATCAGATCAGAGTATAATTGTCTGACCAATCTCAGCAGAGTGGGATGTCTGACCAATCAGAGTAGAATTGTCTGACCAATGAGAGCAGATTGGCATGTCTGACCAATCAGAGCAGAGTGGAATTGTATGACCAATCAGAGCAGAGAGGTATATCTGACCAATTAGAGCAGAGTTGAATTGTCTGACCTATCAGAACAGATTTGGATGTCTGACCAATCAGAGCAGAGTAGAATTGTCTGACCAATCTGAGCAGAGTGGGATGTCTGACCTGACCAATCAGAGTAGAATTGTCTGACCAATCAGAGCAGATTGTGATGTCTGACCAATCAGAGCAGATTGGGATGTCTAACCAATCAGACCTGAGTAGAATTGCATTGCATTGCATCCTTAAACCACGCGTTTCAGACACTTTGAGAAAAGCTGATACTGGAATGGGAATTATGAGAAATCAGAAGTGTTTTCATTTATTTATTTGTTTTTTAAGTTGGATGAAGGTGAACCTGTACTAAAAACCTTCGAACCAAAAGTGAATGAGGAATCTATAAAATAGCATAATGGGCCACTTTAGTGTGTAAGATGCTTCCATTACGTCTGCTGTAATCACAGCCCACCGCAAAGCTAAATTGTTTTCACATTCCAGCGTAAGAGTAAAGCTGAAGCGGTGAATCATAGAGCCTTTGAGCCCTCGAACTGAAAAAAGACTCTAAACATTTGACAAACAACAATAAAAGCTGCGTGTGTGTGTCGTTTCTAGGAAAGAATTCCTCTGTTTGGTGTGTGGAGCAGTGATGGATGAACCCAGCACAAAGATGCAGCTGGAGGTGTTTCTGAGCTGCTCTTCACTGAGCCACTGTACCGTCAAAATCAAGGTGAGATCATGGCAGAAATCCACAGTGGACTGCACAAAAACATGCCCTGCTCATATTTCAAAATACAGCTGAAGTCAGAATTATTAGCCCTTCTGTGAATTTCCTTTTCAATATTTCCTGAATGATGTTTAACAGAGCAAGACATTTTTGATAGTATTTCCTATAGTATTTTTTAATCTGGTTTTATCTTTCAACTTTTTAAAACCTTTATAAGGTCAATATTATAAGCCCTCTTTAAGCAATATATTATTTCGATTGTTTACCGAACAACCCACTGTTATACAATGACTTGCCTATTTACTCTAACCTGCCTAATTAACCCTTTAAATGTCACTTTAAGCTGAAAACTAGTATCTTGACAAAGATCTTGTAAAATATTATGTACTCTCATCATGGCAAAGTTAAAAGGCAGTTCTGTGGGCGCAAATGCCTTGTTGATGCTAGTGGTCAGAGGAAAATGGCCAAACTGGTTCCAGAAAGGCAACAGTAACTGAAATCACTGAAACCGCTCATTACATCCGAGGTATGGAGAAGAGCATCTCTGAACGCACAACACATCTAACATTGATGCGGATAACCTACAGCAGCAGAAGACCACACCGGGTGCCACTCCTGTCAGCTAAGAACAGGAAACCGATGCTACAATTCACACAGACTCACCAAAATTGGACAATAGAAGATTGGAGAAATGTTGCTTGGTCTGATGAGTCTCGATTTCTGCTGCAACATTCAGATAGTAGGGTCAGAATTTGGCATCAACAACATGAAAGCATGAATCCATCCTGTCTTGTATCAACAGTTCAAGCTGGTGGTGTAATGATGTGGGGGATATTTTCTTGGCACACTTTGGGCCCATTAGTGCCAATTGAGCATTGTGTCAACGCCACAGCCTACTAGAGTATTGTTGCTGACCATGTCCATCCCTTTATGACTACAGTGTACTCAGTGTACTTCCAGCAGGATAACGCGCCATGTCATAAAGGCGCAAATCATCTGGTTTCTTGAACATGACAATGAGTTCATTGTACTCAAATGGCCTCCACAGTCACCAGATTTCAATCCAACAGAGCACCTTTGGGATGTAGTGGAATAGAAGATTGGCATCATGAATGTGCAGCCGACAAAGCTGCAACAACTGCGTGATGCTATCATGTCAATATGGAGCAAAATCTCTGAGGAATATTTCCAGTACCTTGTTCAATCTATCCCACGAAGGATTAAGGCAGTTCTGAAGGCAAAAGACTACTTTCATTCATTCATTCATTCATTTTCTTGTCGGCTTAGTCCCTTTATTAATCCGGGGTCGAACCGCCAACTTATCCAGCAAGTTTTTACGCAGCGGATGCCCTTCCAGCCGCAACTCATCTCTGGGAAACATCCACACACACATTCACACACACACTCGTACACTACGGACAATTTAACCTACTCAATTCACCTGTACTGCATGTCTTTGGACTGTGGGGAAAACCGGAGCACCCGGAGGAAACCCACGCAAACTCAGGGAGAACATGCAAACTCCACAGAGAAACGCCAACTGAGCCAAGGCTCGAACCAGCGACCCAGCGACCTTCGTGCTGTGAGGCGACAGCACTACCTACTGCGCCACTGGTTCGCCCCAGCACTACTTTAAATGATTTAATTTTTCTAGAATATGACATACTAATGTATATTTATATTTGTAAAGCAAATTTTGTTGGTTCACATAAGGGATTATAGACGGTACAGCAAACACAACTACTAAGCAGATTAAGGATTTTTTTTTAATATAATAACAATAATAAGCCAGTCATGATGATGAATATGATGATAATAATAATGAGTATCAGATATTTCTCACAATCTGTTTTATTACTGCTGATATATATTTTTTAAATTATTTTTGGCTAAATTTGATTAGATTACTAGATTTTCACTAGTGTTAAAGAACGTCATATCTGGTGTTTTGTTTAGTTTTTATTTTAAGGCATAAATTAAAGAGTGTACAGCAAACACTGTGATGAATCAATATTATTTAAATGTTTATGTTATTTTTCCCAGAGGGCATTAACTGCGTAAAAACTTGCTGGATAAGTTGGCGGTTCATTCTGCTGTGGCGACCCCAGATTAATAAGAAAATGAATGAATGAATGTTTAAGTTATAAATTCATTCATTTTCTTTTCGGCTTAGTCCCATTATTAATCTGCGTCGCCACAGCGGAATGAACCGCCAACTTATCCAGCATATGTTTTATGCAGTGGATGCCCTTCCAGCTGCAACCCATCACTGGGAAACATTCATACACACTTATTCACACACATACACTATTGTAAATTTGGCCTACCCAATTAACTTGTAACACTTGTCTTTGGACTGTGGGGGATACCGGAGCACCCGGAGGAAACCCACGCCAACACGGGGAGAACATGCAAACTCCACACAGAAACGCCAATTGACCCAGCCGAGCTCAGCGACCTTCTTGCTGTGAGGTGAACGTGTTACTCACTGTGCCACCGTGCAGCTCCTAAATGTTTAAGTAAATTATTTTAATACCTTTTGCATTAATATCAGTGTGCAAGATACACATCCTCTAGATGCACTGGGACGCATCGTCAGTGATGTATCCAGGGTGTTTCGGATCTTTCAACATCAGACACTCTCGCCCAGGTGACCCAGCTGAGGTTGATCGGACCCCAACTTCAGTCACAGTAGCTATCACCCATGGATCTGCCCTCTTTATCCATAGCCATCTTGTGGCTTTCTCTGCAGCTTCACAAACTGACTTAATGGCTCTTTTCTTAGCTGCTACTTCTAGGCCTAGTTGGTTGAAGACTTTACAGAGTGAACGTCCTGCCGACCCTTTACAGCAGGGGTCACCAATCTCGGTCCTGGAGAGCCGGTGTCCCTGCAGCGTTTAGCTCCAACTTGCCTCAACACACCTGCCTGGATGTTTCAAGTATACCTAGTAAGACCTTGATTAGCTTGTTCAGGTGTGTTTGATTAGGGTTGGAGCTAAAATCTGCAGGACACCGGCCCTCCAGGAACAAGTTTGGTGACCACTGCTCTACAGTCCATTTAGCATTAACATTAAACATTGAGTGTTTTTTTAAATAAAAATACTTTAATAAGTCATATTAGTCGTTTATTATTTATATAAACAATTATGATTTCAATCATTTAATAATTATTTATTATTTAAATAAAAAACCGTCTTACATTTATTTTGGAGGGGTATACAGTTGAAGTCAGAATTATTAGCCCCCCTGAATTATTAGCGCCCCTGTTTATTTTTTTCCCCAATTTCTGTTCTGTTCTGGGAAGATTGTTTCAGCACATTTCTAAGCATAATAGTTTTAATAACTTATTTCTAATAATTGATTTATTTTATCTTTTCCATGATGACATTAAATAATATTACACTAGATATTTTTCAAGACACTTCTATACAGCTTAAAGTGACACTAAAAGGCTTAACTAGGTTAATTAGGTTAACTAGGCAGGTTAGGGTAATTAGTCAAGTTATTGTATAATGATAGTTTGTTCTGTAGACTATCGGAAAAAAATATTAGCTTAAAGAGGCTAATAATTTTGTCCCAAAAATGTTTTTTAAAAAATTAATAACTGCTTTTATTCTAGCCGAAATAAAACATATAAGACTTTCTCCAGAACAAAAAATATTATCAGACATACTGTGAAAATGTCCTTGCTCTGTTAATCATCATTTGGGAAATATTTAAAAAAGAAACTCAAAATCAAAAGGGGGCTAATAATTCTGACTTCAACTGTATATGCCAGACCTCTTCGTGAAAGGTTTTGTGAGATCCTTCGAATTCTGCAGTGAAGCATCTGCATCTGCATCTCAAATTACTTCACGATAATAAAAATAAAGTCAAGCTAGCATGATTTTATCACTCTTGCTGAAACCCCAATGCTCTTCATCTAGCGTTTTATCTACACTCAGTTTTGTTTCCTGGACGGTTCAGCGGAAGTGGAGAGCCACATATTATGGAAAAGATTTAACAAGATAAACCTCTCAAACATGATCAGAAATGTGTGTCGCTCACTGCAGAACACAAATTAAGATAGGCCGAAGGACAGATCTGGACCACTGAGTGGCACAACTCAATGTTAATTATTCCATCGACTTTTTTCAAGAAGCATTCATTTTTGATTAAAGTCAGATTTTTAAAAACTTATTTACAGTTTAAATGTCAGAATTGTTAACAATTTTTAGTCTTATATAGTCAAATATTTCCCAAATGATGTTTAACAGAGCAAGAAATTTTTAACAGTATTTCCTATAATATTTTTTTTCTTCTAGGGAAAGTGATTTGTTTTATTTTGGCTAGAATAAAAGCAGTTTTTCATTTTTAAACCATTTTAAGGTCAATATTATTAGCCCCCTTAAACAGTATTTTTTTATCGATTGTCTACAGATTAAACCACTGTTGTACAATGATTTGCCTAATTACCCTAACTTGCCTAGCTAACCTAGTTAAGCCTTTAAATGTCACTTTAAGCTGTATAGAAGTGTCTTGAAAAATATCTAGTCAAATATTATTTACTGTCATCATGACAAAGATAAAGTAAATCAGTTATTAGAAATGAGTTTTTAAAACTATTATGATTAGAAATGTCTTAGCAAAATATTTTTTGCTTAATCAGGGAAAAGCGTATATAGGAACAGGGTGGCTTATAATTCAAGAGGGGTAATAATTCGGACTTTAAATATACTTTGTTCTAAGCCATTATTACCATGTCAAATAAGCATTGCATTTTACATGAATGAGGCCTTTACTTTGTCAAGTGCAAATTGCTCAAAATGCTTGAGTAGACGAGGTCAGATGCAGTTTTTATACTGTTTTTTTTTCAGTTCCGCCACATTGCATGAATCTGATGAAATGAATGCATTGATGTACATGTGTTTCAGTTGCAGCAAAAAACCATCAAGTCTCTTTTAAGCTCGACAAGAAGTTCTGAGGTGAGAAGGTGTCATTTTTTGCACGTTTTTTATGTTTTCTTCATTTCTGACTTAAAAAAAGAAAGAAAGCAGGCTATAATTTTGAATCAAGATATTAGTTGAATCAAATTATCTTCTAGCATCTCAACATACATCAGGCAAACTTAAGATTAATATTAACTTTTTATAAATGAAATGTAATTTAAAAATGTAGTTAAACGTTTAAGTTAAATCAACATAAAATAAGTTCATGACTTTTTGTCATTAAATTTTTTAGTTTAGATATTTGGATCAAAAACAAGACAAAGGGCCCTATCATACACCCGGCGCAATGAGGCGCATGGCGGGACGCAAATGTTGTTTGCTAGTTTCAGCTTGGCGCAAGAGTGTTGCACTACGCTGTTTAAATAGCAAATGCATTTGCGCTCATATGTGCGCCCATAGGCGTTCTGGTCTAAACAAGGAGGCATGTTAAGCCGCATTGCTGGCGCGTTGCTATTTTGAGAAACTAAAATACACTGTTCAATAGCGCGTTATTTGTGAGCCTCGCTGACACATTGTTTAATACATACAGGATGTACAGCAAAACAACAATATCTTTACATATGAAAAAGAATTAAAGGATTTAAATATTACAAAAATTATTATTTTCCAGCCTACATAAATAAAAACCACTGCCTTCATGAGTTCTTCATCTTGGGGGGCGTTTTCAGTTCATTCATGACAATTTGCTTTTGTATAATGTTATTATTATTAGCAGTATTATTTATTATATACATATTTATATTTGTTTTAATAAAAACAAGCTTAGATTTGCCCACCTGTCAGGTTTTAGACTTTATGGGGCACAGCATGTGTTTTTGGATATAACTCAGGTTTTTGAGCACACTTCGTTATTGTTGTTCACTTATTTGTTTGCTGGAAATTAGAACTGAATTTATAAACAGTTTTGAAACAAATCTTTGAGCTTAACAAACAAAATTAATTATTTATAGGGTAATGGATATCTGTGTGTACAACAAGTTTTCCTATCCACGAGAGTGAAAGTGAAAGTAAAGAATGAGGAGCCTCATCTCTTATTCTTGTGGTGTAGAGGCTCTGTTTAACTGTTTTCTCGCTAGTGAAGCGTTCAGTTTTTCCACTTACAAAGTCCGCCATGTAAACAACTGTAAAACAACTGCCTCTTAAAGGGAATGGGAGATGAGACTCTGATTGGTTTATTCTCAAAACAAACCTATAACTCATTAAGAGAATAAGCTCAACCCTGTTAAACCATGTGCTGTGGCGCAAAGCGGATTTTCCTGCCCTTAAAATAGCGAAAGTGGATTCCGACACGCCCTTAATGCATTTGCGCCCTGCACTTAGCATGCGCATGGATCGTCAAAATGGAGCCCACAGTCTCTAATTAAGAAAAGCATTTTTTTCGCTAATAATAAACCACTGGCGATGGCTTTTATTTCAGCAAACTCCTAATTTTCTGTTTATTAATAGTTATTAAGGTAGCTGGGTAAAGAGAATAGGGAAGTAGAATAAGATCATGCTTTGTTTACTTTTTATGCTCCAAAAATGCTTTTCCTAGACTTTTTGTCTTGTTTCTGTAATCCAAATATCTAAAAGGTCTTGAATCAAGAAGCATTTTCTAGACAAGCAAAAATATTGGGTAACACTTTATAATAACTACACACTATAAATCATGTATTAAGCATTAGCAAATAGTGAATTCATTATCCGTTAAGTATTATCTCTACATTAATAAACGTTAGTAAGCAGTTTATAACTGCAGCCACAAATGCTCTATTCTTGACTTATAACCACATTTAAAATGTGCTTAATAATTGTATTTTCATACTTAGTAAATGATTAATTTTTCATTACTAAATTAAGTATTGCATTATTTACAAACCAGTTGTATTTAAGAGTAGTTGAGGGTTTTTAGGATCTTTCAGAATGAGTTAGTAAATGATTAATAAACTATTGAAATCAACATTTATATGTCTTATTATTCAGGCATATAGTCAACTAATATGTTAATAAATGCTTTGTTAACTCAACTTCATGCAGTTTTGTGATCTAAAGTGAGAGCTGTTTATGCTTTATAAATCCCTTATAAATGACAAATAAAGGCTCAGACTCAAATGAACTATAATCTTTGCAATCTTTTCTAAAATGTAAAATTACTGTAAAGTTTAAACATTGCTGAATAACAGAAGTGTTAAAATACAACAAAACTGGATAAAACAACAATACAATAATTAAACAATGTAATAAAATGTAATGTTTAAAATCTACAGTGATTTTATTTTAGATCAAGTTGCAAAGATTTATTTTTTATTTGAAGTACAGTTTCATTTGTGTATCTTTAATTGAATAGGAATGAATAATGTCATTGTTCCTGTTTAGAATTTAACTGAGCGTTCATTTGTCACTTATAAGGGATTTATAAAGCATGAATAGTCCTCACTTTAGATTAGGTCACAAAACTGCATGAAGTTGAGTTAATAAAGCATTTACCAACATATTAGTTGACTATATGCCTGAATAATAAGACATATAAATGTTGATTTCAATAGTTTATTAATCATTTACTAACTCATTCTGAAAGATCCTAAAAACCCTCAACTACTCTTAAATACAACTGGTTTGTAATTAATGCAATACTTAATTTGGTAATGAAAAATAAATCATTTACTAAGTATAAAAATACAATTATTAAGCTCATTTTAAATGTGGTTATAAGTCAAGAAAACAGCATTTGTAGCTGCAGTTATAAACTGCTTACTAACGTTTATTAATGTAGAGTTAATGCTTAACGGATAATGAATTCACTATTTGCTAATGCTTAATAAATGATTTAGAGTGTGTAGTTATTATAAAGTGTTATCAAATAGGGTCTTGTTTTCAGAAATAATATATTAAAATTAGACAAGTTTTTCTTGAAAACAAGCCAAACAATCTGCTAACAAAGAAACGTATTTCAAAGCAAAAACAAGATTAGTTTACTCACCCCATTGTCAAATTAATTTTCACTTTATCAAAAAATAATAATTAAAATCAGCTAATTTTGACTTATTATTTCTGAAGCCTAGGTTTTCTGTCTTATATTGTATATATTGCCTACACTGTAAAAACTTACTTACAGCGAGTAAACCAATTGAGTTTAAGTTTATCAACTTTATTAATCCCACCAGGGGCAATTAGATTAGGGTAGTAGCATTTCATGATACAACAAACACATAAAGAGACAAATCATTTAGAAACAGCATTAAAAAACACAATCCAACATGCTGCATAATAACTTCATAAATAGTACTAAAAAACATAGGAAAGACCCATGTATTAAAAATGTTAAACTTTTTTCCTGAAATGTATACTCTTTCTTGCTTAGATTTTTTTTGTCTTGTTTCTAGTCTAAATATCTAAAATTTCTTATGTCAAGAAGCATTTTCTAGACAAGAAAACATATTGTCTTGTTTTGAGAAAAAATATGCCAATATTAAGTGAGTTTTTTCTTAAAACAAGCAAAATAATCTGCCAATTGGGTTAGCAAATAAATCTTGTTTTTTCTTCATCAAACAGAATAGATATTGACTTTGTGTCACTTAAAAACTTTAGTTGAAACCTGAATAATTTATTAAAATAAGTTTAATTAACAAAAAATGATTGACTTTTTGTCATTAAATATTTTACAGTCTTAATATTTAGACTAGAAACAAGAGTTTTTTTTGCAGTCTAAGTACTAATAAACAGCCAATATCGTAAGTTATATCATAAGTAATAAGCAGGTAAAAAGTTAGTTAATAGGAAGAATTGATATTTGAGCTAAAATGTTGCCGCAATGTCTGTTTGAAACTGAAAGTTAAGTGTGTGTGTGTGTGTGTGCGTGTGCGTGTGCGCGATTATGTGTGTGCGCGCGTGTGTGATCTGTTTACTTAACAGGGCCACAATGTGGAGCATGTTCTTGGCTCAGAGATCGGTCCTCTCAGCGCCTTCGTCCACATTGTGAACAGGAGTCAGACTGTTTGGATCGGTTTGGAGGAGTTATCCTTTGACTAGCTCGCTTATCTGCTGCTATTATTACTGAAGAATCAGCCAACACTAGTCATGCATTACTTCTGAAGGAGTATATGTGATAAAAATAGCCTTGACTGAACCACTTTCACTCAAACTACTTTTTGAATGTTTATTCCGAGTCATATTGATCTGGAATATGTTGAAATGAATTATTATTAAGATGTTTTTGCGGTAAATCCAGCTGATGAAAGAGATTTTGTGTTGAGGCAAAAGTTGTTTCTAACCACATTATGGTGGCGTTTAAGTTAAGCTGTACACAATTAACACTCTCATCTGTTTTGCTGCACTTCATGATAGCTCATATTTACTATAAATAAATGTTTTTTTTGCCACCAAATGATTTTAGATATGATTTTATGATGTTCAAATGATTTTAGATATGATTTTATGATGTTTCAAATGATTTTAGATATAATTTTATGATGTTTCAAATGATTTTAGATATGATTTTATGATGTTCAAATGATTTTATTTTCATTTCAGCTTAACCAATGCTATTTTTTTCACTAACATAACCATTGATTATTTTTGTTTTGATAACAAAATACTCATATTTAAATGTCATTTTATTCCTATTTTTTTAAATTGTTGACAGTAATTACTCTACGGTAAAAAAACAAGAGATGGCACATTTTATTGTCCATATAAAATTAATTTTATATAAACAGAAAGCAAATTAAAAGTATGAAAAGCATCTATTTTAATGGTTGAAATATCATCTATACATATAAAATGTCAAAGTATAGATGAAATAATATTCAATCATCATTTAGCAACGGATATATTTATGCAAAAACTGATTAAACATGTTTATTCTGGCTTGTCTGCACAGAAGTAAAGTTCTACAAGTGGGTAAAAACTGATCATTAATGTGTATTTTGTAGCTGCACTGCAGTTAAATAGTCAGTAAAAGTCTCCTAAATATCTTTGAATGTTTCAAATGTTTCAGCGTATTCTAAACACCTAATAAGATTTGTCTTTTTTATTTACTTATTTATTTGTTGCATCAAATATTGCTACACCAAATAACATTTTAATAGATGCTTTCTGTAAAAATTATAGATTTTTGCTGCTTGAAGCATCCCATTTGACAGTGAATGACTATAAATGAAAAGGTTTTATATGTAAATACATTAAGTATGCAGCTTTGGATATTAATATTTTTCATTTATTAATAACAAGCTGAAATATTGCTGTCAACTTTCATCTTATTGGTGGCTTTAGCCCTTGTTTACCAACCTGACTATCAAACGCAGCAGCAGTTGTGACATTAAACACTAAAGGATCTCTTTAATGTTTACCACAAACTATCTTTGTTACTCATAAATCCCCCAAAATCGCTATTTTTAACACGCATAGAACTAAAAATATTCGGGTTTTGGAACTGACTGACAGCTACACCTTTCACCAGACCGCGCCCCCTCAGACCCGCCCCCCTACACACATGCGCGTTCACGTGTATGTTTTTTTCAAATTCACATCGTTTTATTTATGCATCTGTACACACTGTACAATTTCAAACATGCTCTGGCATTAATACGAAGTTTCAGGGAATTATAAAAACAAGTACCATAAAAACATATATGAAGTTTTTTCTGTAATAATTTAGAATACAAAAGAAGCTTTCACAAAAAGTCCATCATCGTCGTCTAACGTGTAACTTTAAGCGCGTCTGCTACAAGAAGAACAAGTTCACTGAGGTATGTTTTTGGCAGGGTTTTGTTTTTCGCAGTTTTTGCGCGTGCGTGCGTCACCGACTGTCAACAGCCGCGCGCGCCGCCGACCCAAACGAGGCTTCGGGCATCTGTTTGAAGAAGTTTCTAAGGCTGCTCAGCTCTCTCGTCAGCTGGTCGATGGTTTTGTGCAGACGCTCGTTTTCCGCGCCCAGCTCGATCATCTTTTGCTGCATGTCCAAGTTGCGCTGCTTCGCCTTGTCTCTGCTTTTACGCACGGCGATGTTGTTCCTCTCGCGCCGCTGCCGGTACTCCGGACTGTGCCTGTCCACGTTCTTTTTGCCCTTCTCCTTGCCTGGCCTCCTGTGTGCCACGGGCTCGGGCTCAGGTGTGGTGGGGGGCGTCGGCTGTCCCGTGTGCATGAAGTTGACGGAGGTCTGCGCGCACGCCTCGATCTGCGACGGTAAAGACGAGGAGTGCTCGCTGTCGCTCCAGTCCGCCTCCTTCTTAATCGGTGCGCAAAACGAGCCCTTTCCGAAACCCTCCAGGTGCCTCTCCGCGCTCTTGTGCGCAAACGCGTTGGACATGTAAAAGTCAGGCTTTTCTTGCTTTACAGTATTGTTGAACAGGTCTGCGAAGAGCTCGTCGTTGCAGATCTCCAACGGGACCGTTGACATGGACTCAATGTAGGCGCTGAAGTCGATGGCGCTCTCATCGTCATAGATAGCAGGAGCATTGCTGAGCTCCATCATGTTGCCAGTGCTGCTGCTGTTGTTGTTGTTGTTCTCTCCTGGTTTTGCATCTCCTTTATTATCATAAAAGTTGGCAGGCTCCATGGCCCAGCTCATGTTGCATGGTGGCGTTACGCACTGCGAGTCCAGATTGTACATGTCAGACATGGACGCAGCAGAAGTCACCATTAAATACGCACAAAAATTCCCTTGTGAATGAATCCCTTTGGCTGTCCCAAGGAAAGTGTGTCTTTTTTTCACGCGCTGGTTTTCGCGCAGCCCGCGCGTATCTCCAAAAGTTCTGCCTCTGGAACAGGTGCTAAAAGTTTCTCTCAGCTCTATCGAGATCTCCGCCGTCCGCGCGCATTTGTACGAGCGCTCGGTTTGCGTCAGCGCTTCTCCTCCCCCTCGCAGAAGCCAGTGAATGTCCAGTGTCAGTCACATGTTCCTCCCGGGCTCCTATTTGAGGAGAGTCGGGTGTGCATGTACGCCTACCAGAACACAGAGGAGCAGATCGAGAACAGCCTGTCAGAACTGCGTGTTGTAGGACACGAGGACATGTCTGAATGCGCCTGTCTGTCGGTTTGCAAGCGTGTGTGTGCGTCTGACACTCTCTGAGATATATATATATATATATATATATATATATATATATATATATATATATATATATATATATATATATATATATATATATATATATATATATATATATATATATATATATATATATATATATATATATATATATATATATATATATATATATATATATATATATATATATATATATATATATATATATATATATATATATATCTATATATATATATATATATATATATATATATATATATATATATATATATATATATATATATATATATATATATATATATATATATATATATATATATATATATATATATATATATATATATATATATATATATATATATATATATATATATATATATATATATATATATATATATATATATATATATATATATATATATTATTTTATTTAAAAAAATTTTTACATCTACAAAAGCATGATAAAATAATATTTACAAATTTATATTTTAGCATAAAAAATATGGTCCTACTTTTTACAACATGTCTTATTTACATGTTAAAAAGTTTAAATAAGTTTAATATTTATTACAATTGTAAATAACTGCTTTCTTATTGTATGTAGTTTCAAATGAATTTATTACTCTAGTCATTTTTGCTTTTATTACTACTAACATAGTAATACTACTACTAACACTAAAAAAAAAAAAAAAAAAAAAAAAAATATATATATATATATATATATATATATATATATATATATATATATATATATATATATATATATATATATATATATATATATATATATATATATATATATATATATATATATATATATATATATATATATATATATATATATATATATATATATATATATATATATATATATATATATATATATATATATATATATATATATATATATATATATATATATATATATATATAT